AAAAAAAAAAACACACCCCCCCACACACACCCCACCAAAAAAAAAAAACAAAAAAAAAAAAAAAAAAAAAAAAAAAAAAAAAAAAAACCCGGGGGGGAGGGGAGAGGAAGATATAACAACCACAATTTTTTTTTTTGAAGTTCTTACAACAAGCAAATGGAGGGGACACACTTGGGTGGGAGGGGGGAGAGGGAGGAGGGAGGGAGGTGTCGGTGATGAGACATAATAATCAACTACATTGTATATTGACAAAATAAAAATTCAAAAAAAATAAAAATTTTTTAAAAAAATAACTACTCTACCAAAAGAACTAGCTCTTGCCTCTGGTTTTAAAGAATAGAATGTTCTTGGTTGTTGTGAAAGCTCTTGAGAAGGCTCTCAGAAAGTCTCCTGATAGATGTTTAGCAAACAATTTTCAGAGTAGAAGATTTCACATGGATTTTTAAGATTATGCAATCTATATTCATAATGTACATATATTTCTAACTCGTACCACTACTAAAATAAGCCACATTTCTACAATATTTAACATATTAATATATTAATATTTAAAACACAGCCTAAAGTATCTTTTCTTTTCCTCTTCTTTGTTCTTCCCCCTTTTTAAAAAAAATAATTGTCTGCTTTGCCATTTTATCCAATTTCTTTCCTGAAGGAAAAACAGCATGGTGGAAATAATATGAGTTTTTGGCACCAGACACAGGTCCATTCAAATCATGTCAGCTCCTCACATGCTGTGTGACATCGGCCTCTGTCCTTTTCTACTAGAAAGAACAGTGCTCAAGACAGAATTCAAGACAGGATGTTTCCCCTCCTAACTGATACACTAATATGCCTTAATTTTTCTGCAGTTCAAGTCTTCCTACTGCCACCCTTGATACTAGTTTTGACAAAAAGAATACTTGTTGCCTGTACCTTCTTTCTTACGATCTTAACTAACTTGCTTTAATGTTCTTTTACTATGATGACGATATAGATTACAGTTTTCCTACCTTTTCCACTGGAAATCTTTCTAAATCTCTTTGCTCTAAATCTTCAAATTAATAAATTTAAAAATAACCTCAAAAATAATACCTAAAGAGTGACACTACTCATTGATGTAACTGCTTAACAAAATTCCTAAAGAAATGTTTTGAAAACCATAATATTTAGTACTATGCCATGGAATTATTCCATGGAATAATACAGATACCCACATATACTGACTGAAAACTAAATACGTTTCCAAGTTTTGGATGACCTAGAAGATAATTAGCCATCGTTTTAGGCAGCTACTTGATACCACTTTTAGGTGTATCACATACATTATATTATTTCTTCACTTTAAGAAACCTAAAAAGTACATATAATTAACCATTGTATTGGTGAGAACACTGGGATTCAGGTTTTGGAATATCAGCATGGAGGGAGTTTGAATCCTATTTCATCCTAACAGAGTTAACCACAGATGAGAGCAGCAGAAGGTCAACGGTGATGTGGCACGTTTAGGCAAGGTGAGTCTGCAGTGCCACTCTACGCCCCAAATCCCCCCTTGCTTCAGCACAATGTGGGGATATAGGAAAGCCCTGATGATAAGCAATAAAGGATCTGATAATTAAGGATCAGTATGACTGCTAGGAGACAGCCTCAGTGCAGGACCAAGGAAATTCCAATGCAGAGGTGGAGGGATGGACAGTGGTAAGCAGAAGTTCAGTGGAAGTAGGATGGTGAAGAATCTCCCAAAGCAGGTTGAGGAGATGGGCCAAGTTCTTAGTAGCAATCACATTCAACATCTATGTCAAGAGAACGGAAGAGAGCAAATACACCAGACATCTCGTTACATGAGTCTCCTTGCACCTAGACACCAAGCAGCAAACATCAAGAACACTCGAGAATATTGAAAGAGAGTTAGAACTTAGAGTTTACTAAACCCTTAATTGTCCACAAAAGGCTGTTTTGAAATGAAAGAGGCCAACCTTCCAGTAGTGAGATTCATTTTTCTGCTTCCTGGGAGAGAAGGGCAGCTCATGAGCAAATTAATCCCTGAAGAGAGACAGTATAATTTCTTTTCTTTTTTTTTTTTTGTCTTTTGTCTTTTTTCCGTGTCCGGCAACGGATCGCAACCCTCAGTGTCGCGCCCGTACCGGACCGGGGACCGGCAACGGGATCGCAACCCTCGGTGTTGCTCCCGCGCCTCGCTCAGCCAGTGAGCGGGAACCGGTCTGTATGTGGGATCCGAACCCTCGGGTGGGAGCGCCGCCGCGCTTCCCAAGCGGCGCACTATCCAGTGCGCCACCGGGCCGGCCCCGAGAAACAGTATAATTTCTGCATATTAGATCTTAAGTATGTAAATTTTGACAACCCCTTCCCCCTTTTCTTCTAATGATCTTGTC